CCATACACCATCGTGTAAAATGGCATCATGATTTTTTCAAACAAAAAAAAAAAAAAATTACATAGATAAAACCCTTCGTAAAATAATAGTAGTATTATTATTATTATTATTATTATTATTCTATATTCCATGTTTTTGATGATGTTTTTTTATTTTTTCATTATCTCTCCTAATTCTTCTTTAGAACCACATGTCTGTTGACTCGAGTCTCTTTTTAATCTGTGATGAAATTGTCCAGCATTCACTGTTATATAGGACGACCAACGACGATTTAAATAATGCTGACTTTGTTGGTCGATGACTATGTCACCCCATGAAATGCAGTGTACGTTGTAAAGTGCGTCGCCTAATGTGTTGGGCGTTGAATGTGGGTGTCATTTAGTGCAATGTTCACTGTCAATCGCCGGTGGGTGCCAACAGTTTTGCTGTGCCAGTGATGTCTGTCCGGAATTCACGTATTTGTAGTGTACATTTACCACTGTTACCCAGAGAAGACCTCTAGCAGTTGTCATCTCCAAGATAGAAGAGTTCCTCATCTTTTGATTTTTAAACTTCCTTCAAAACATCCTGTTTTTCTTTTATTTTTATTACAACTTTCTTTCGTTTTTCTCAATCTTTCTTTCACCGTCTTGTTCTTTGCTTACTTTTTTTTTCTTTTATTTTCCCTATCCTTCATCTTTCCCCTCTTTTCATAATCCGTTCTTTCTTTCGTTGTTTTTGTCGGTCTGTCTGTCTTACTTTCTTTCTTTGCCTTTTTGTTGTTCTTTCTTGGTCTTCTCTTTCGTTCCTTCTTTCTTTATCTCTTTTGTTTTTCTTTCTTAGGTTTTTTTTTTTAATTTGCCATTTGTTTTTCTTTCTGCCTTAACCTTTGTTTTCTTTCTTTCTTTCTTTTGCTTTCTTTCTCGGCCTTCTCTTTTTTTTCTTTCTTTCTTTCTGACTATCTTATGAAAATAAAGTTTTTTTTTTTTTCTTTATCTTTCTTCTTTCTTTCTTTCTTAAGGTTTTTTTTTCCTTTTATTTCTTTCTTTTTCTTTCTTTTTTAGCTTTCTTTCTTTCTTTCTTTTTTTTCTTTTAAGTTCCTTTTACAGAATTTTTCTTTTTTCTTTCTTTTTTTTCTTTTTTCTTTCTTTCTGTTTTTTTTTTTTTTTTTCGTCTTTTCTTCCTTTTTTTTTTCTTTCTTTCTTTTTTTTTTTTTTTTCCTTTTTTCTTTCTTTTTCCTTCTTTTCTTTCTTTTCGTTTTTTGTTTTCTTTCTTTCTTAGTTTTTTTAATTTCTTTTTTTTTTTCTTTTTTTTGTTTTGCTTTCTTTGTGATATTTTCTTTCTTTCCTTCTGGCTTTCTTTACCTTTTTTCTTTTTCTTTCTTTTTTTTTTTAATATTTTGTTTAAAAAAAATTCTTTCTTTCCTTTTTTTTGGTATTTTTTTAAAATTATTCGTTCCAGTTTTTTCTTCAAATTTTAGAATTTCTTTCTTTTAACTTTGGTTTTTTGTTTTTCATTCCTCCTTTCTTTCCTTTTTTCTTTTTTTCTTTCTTTTTCTAATGGCTCTAAAAAACATTTCTACCCATTAACCTGACTCCGATGCCACTTTTGGAGAAGGTTCGACTTGGCTCGAGGGACGATGGCGATTCCTCATTGGTTGAATAATACAGAACATGATTTTTAATTCTTAAAACCATTTCCAACTTGCGTCATTGGGAAGAATCATTAATAGACGGACATGTTGGTCGAATTGGATAAGAATGGTAAAATTCTAATTTAAGACAGACCTAAGAAAATGAAATTTAATGGAAGAAAGAAATGTTTAAAAGATAAAAATAAATATATAAATATACAAAAAAGATCCCCGGGCCAAACAGGAAACGAGAGTTATTATGAGTGGTATAAATTTCAGACAAATCGATTTTATTTTTTCCGCTTATACATATAATTGATATTCGATATATCGATATTTGAATTCTTATCAAAACAAAAATCAAAGGTTATTATTGCCATGAGATAATTTCAAATATATTGCTGAAAATTCCAAGATGACAGGGAGGTTTATTTCTAAAAGCCTAAGTATATAATTTTCGAATATAAATATAATATCCAGCGCCTAATTGGTCGAATTTGCATTTTATCTTGAATTAACAGAAAATTTTTTTTAATACAAATATTATATTCTCCTCCCATAATGGATTAAATAGTAAAATTTTTTTGCATTGACAGAAACAGTAGTGATGGATAGATCCACGGATTTTTAAATCAACTAATATTTTACTAATTTCTTTTGTTAGATTAATTTACGCGCAAAATACTGTTTTTTGAAAATAAAATCATTCTGTACAAATGGAAAAAAGAAGGTGCTTTAAAATTTTATATATTTCCTCATTATTTTTTTTTGGTGATGTGTGAACCAACTGATAAGATAAGTATTAACCCTAGACTTGAAAAGGTTGAGATTGAGTTTGCGTTTGAGTAGATTAAATACTTAATCCATCTCCTTCCAGCCCTAAAATATTGGTTAAATAGTATGAATTGTATCTGGAAAAAGAATATTGATATTCTAAGAACAATGTTAAATTAATAATTATTCTTACAATCCAAAATATGTTTCGGCCTTAAATAACTAACTAGTTTATCAACCGAAAGGGTTGATAAACTGTCAAAAAAAAATTAGTTTGATGAATCAATTCATTTGAGTTTTTAAAAAAAATGTTGCCAAAAGAAATTGTAAATTTGCCCGCTATATATTGTTTTTTAAAAAAACAGATTTTTTCCATTTGTTTGTTTTCTTTTACTTTTTTTTTGATACCGTTTAGGAAATATGATGTGTTCGTTTCCTAAAAATGAGGCAAAAATTACCAAACAAACCACCAGTCGCATTTTATACAATACAGCATTTAATATCTGCCCTAAAACAAAACTTTCCAACTATCAAACCAACAAGAAAAAATTTCCTAATATAAATCATTAAATCATTTTCAACAGGATTTTAGACAAACGTATGCACAAATGAGAATATCTCGATATACAACCATATTAAAAGTCCTACCAGGATTCATTATTGGTGGCTATAATCTTAACAGCGTAATATATGACACTGTTGATAGCAAATGCATAAAGGAGACTACTACAGAAAGGACTAAACTGCAAGAAGATGAGATGCCTGGTTGTTAGCAAAAGGGACCGCCCAACATGGAAATTACAAATTGGGGATAACAAAAACAAACAAGTACAACAATTTGCATATCTGGAAAGTGTTTTCACAGAGGACGGAACGTGTGACACAGAAATCCGAAAGAGCCTTCGGATAGCGAAAAACACCCTCCAAAGCCGAGCAAAAGAAACAGAAAAAAAAAATTGTTAGAAACAAAGAAAAGAGTACTGAACTTGTTTTATAATATCAGTCATCCTATATGGCAGTGAATGCTAGACAATCACCCCACAAATGAAGAGAAAGACTTGAAACAACAGAAATGTGAGCCTACAGAAAGAATGCTGAGAATTCCATGGACCGAACATGGGAGCAACGTCGAAGTTTTAGAGAAAGTGAAAACAAACAGGACACTTAACATCGTGGATAGACATTCGAAATATCTAGAGAACATTATGAGGAAAGAAGGTTTGGAATATTTGATGCCCACAGGATGTACTGAAGACAAGAGGGACAAAGGAAAACATAATGAGTTTGAGTAAATGCAATGCGAGACGGTTTAGGGGAAATAACGAAAAGACAAAGGTACAAAGGGCAGGAAATTGTGGAGAGCCATGATCGCCTACATCCTGAACAGGCACGGCACATAAAGCATGCGGATGTTTTTTTGTGTTTCACTCCAGTAAAAGTTCGAGGCTAAAACAGTATACCCTTTCTGTCCGTCTCGATAAGTGTTGTGTGACTATGATCTATTGCTTAGTCAACATCAGGAAGAGGCAGTTGAAATTTCTGGGGCATATAAAGAGGAAAGAGGGCTTGGAAAATCTGATACTCACATGAAATATTAAAGGCAAGAGGGACAGAGGAAAACAAAGTATAACATACTAAATGCGTTTGAGTATATGGATGGTCAAACAAGGTTTAACAAAAAGGTAAAATTTATTAAGAGTTACAAAGAACAGGAAATAGTGGGGAGCCATGATCGCAATAAATTATAACCGAATCGCATAGGGGAAGATTATTAGTCTAACTTGTTCGAATTACGGCCAAGATGAATAGATTTCCTTTCAAAATACTTTATGGGTTTTTCAGCATTCCCAAACTTGGCTATCTAAGCCTTCTATTTTTTGAATAACACTGAATTTAAAACCGGTTTGTGTGCTAGTTAAACCAGGCGTAAACCTTAAATCTCATTCTACTGCAGGTATAGTGAAAGGAACTGCGGGGGGGGGCAATAGCAAACATTTGTTCTTGCCCATTTTCCTCTTTCTGTCTTCTACGTCAAGTGCCATATGGGATACACGCTTGGTCGATCACGTCACTTTCGATTTATGACTAAGTAGAATATTTCCCGCAGTAGGCTGCCATTTCTACGCTAGACTAGTTGCCAACCAAGGCTATAGGAAGCAGTCTGATTCATTGATTGAACCCATAGCTGGTGAGGGAAGCGGTCAATTCATACCTTGCGCATATGAACCCGACAGGAATTAGAACTCAACGTCCGAGTCCTAATTCCAGTCAGGTTCATCTGTTTAAACAATATATTTCATTCCGTGATTTTATCCATAGCTCCATCAAACTAGCTTATTTGGGGGGTCTTTTTTTTGTTTTTTTTCTTAGAATTCACCTCTATGGGTTACCGACATCTATATATTTTATACGCATTATTTTTATTTTGTGATAATAACAGTTTCAGTGATACAACTCATACTAATTAACCCACAGCTGGGGAAGAATAAGTGGATTCATGCCTTTCCCATGGATATTTGTGCGTAAATGGATATTACGAACCCAACTGGAATTGGAACTCGGCTCTCCAATTAAAAATTCCGAGACGTATTTATTACACCACCGCACAGCCAAGATTGCCACATCTGGTATTCCCAAGTGGTCACCCATTTAGGTACTGACCAGAATCGACATTGCTTAACTTCGATGATCACACAGGAACCAATGTTTCAACGGGATGTGACCGTAAGCCAGCGTAAGTTTAAATTTTATTCTAAATTTCGGTAGAGAGATAATTACCTAATTAGCAGGGAACTGTTCCACCTCGGAGTAATGGGGTAACCATAGCGAAGCGCATCGTATACAGCCATTGATAAGATTATGTAGCTGCAGTGTGATGTTGTTGGCTTTATTATCTCGACTGAGGACGAATAAAATAAAATATTTTCCTTTTAGAGTAATACAGTCATTAACAAACGTTTAAGGTCACTTTGCAAATTTATTTTCTTAAAGTAAAAAATTGTAGAGTAACAAATACCGTAATTCCCCATGTATAATACGTATTTTTTTCTAAAAAAGAATAATGAGCAAATTTAGGGGTGCGTATTATGCACAGCTATAAAAAAAATCTTTAAAAAATTGCCGTTTCCTAGGTCGATTTCAGTTGCGAAATGACTACTCACTACAAACATACGACAATTTGACATAACATTCGTCGATTTCGACCCCATAATGATGTTAAATACAATCATATGTACCTAACAATACTTACAAATGAAAAATAAAATAAGAATTATCATAAAACTAAATTAGAATAATATTATTCCATGTTTAAAACCATTTTTTGTAAAAAATACATCCAGATCCGGTAGATTGCACATTCTATCGAACAAAAACAGGTTAATGAGTCTGCGCAATAAGCACAATATAGTTATTTCCGTTTCCTTTTAGAATTGTGATGATCGGAAATTTTGATAAATATTTTCGATTGCAGCTTGAATAAGAGTAGGAAACGCTGGCCGTAATGAAATTGGAGAGGTACAATTTATAGGGATTGATTACCAAACAAGGGGTTCGTATTATGCGTGAATAGAAGCATTTTCCCAGATTTCAGCATTATTTTAGAGGTGCGTATTATGGATGAAGGCGTATTATACATGGGGAATTACGGTAATTTCCGAGAAATTGACTCAATATTACTTATAAATTTGTACATGACGATGATCTCTATTCATCTCAAATCAAACAGACCATCGATCAGTAATCTGCATAATCTTCTTTGCTTGTGATGATGGCTTTGGTTGAGGCGGGAAACATGCCGAGAATCAAGTTCTTAAATTAAGCAATTGTTTCGCTACAACTTATTTCTTCTTCTTGGGTATGTCGATAAACTACACCCGGCAGCAGGGCCTTGTGATCGGGGAGGGGGTTGAGGAGCATGGAGCTACCACTTAATTACGGTTGTTCCCATAGTCACCCTGAACCGGGGTGGTAGCACCTGTTAGGGTCCCAGTTATGGGCAAATAGTGAACTCCAAACTGGAATCAAAACATGAAAATATAAAAATACATTAGAAAAAATTACCAACAATGCATTTTCAAAGTAAAAGAATAAAAAATTAATAAAAATACCAACAATATATTTTTGAAAAAAATTACCAAATCTCCCAAGAAAATAAAATGTCGGCATTAAATGACCCATAAGGACTTGATATGCCGTTAAACAAACAAATCAAACAACTGTTGTGGTAGGATCCACCTAATTTGCATAGTGGAGTACCGACCATATAAATATGGTTGGTACCGGGAAGAGAGGGAGGAATCAAGAGATTCAATCCAGAGACTCTGCCCGACTGCGACTAAGTCAACACATTCTCCAGGAACGGTCTTCTCAGGAATATACAAAAGACTATATGTAAATATTGTGTACACTTTCTTGTTTCAATACATTTTGTTCTAAGTACATTTTGTGTTGTATTATTATTCCATGCATTAGTCAAGTTTCAACAACAACCTACTTCTACAAAAATTCCAAGTTCAAAATAGCCTTCCTCCAATAGAACCGTAATTTGGACGCTTCGTGTAAGTGAAAATGAGGAATTTTTTGTCCATATTCTAAGCTGAATTCATTCATTTTCGGCCGGTAATTTGATCAGTTCCGCAGTTGAGCCAGGATCCGTCACCCGGGACGCAGAGATGAAGAAAGTAGTTGGGTATTCTTGTCTTGCTGATAGATTTTTTTTTGCTCCTGTGGCAGTGAAGATTTCGGGAGTTGTTGGCCCTCGTTCGATGGCATTCCTTCGGAGGATTGGCGCGATTGCGTCTCGATTAATGGATGAGTCTCGCGAAACGGAGTTCAAATTTTGCAGCGTGTCTCACTGGCGATGGTTCGAGGTAATGCTTTCTCCATCGTTAAATTTCAATAGCAGATTTTAAAAAAAATTGTTTATTGTTACGTTGTTCTGGAATTGTCATCAATGGTCAACTGAACTTGTTTTGTTTTATATAATGTGTGTGTCTATATAGAGTATGTACATATAAGTTTAAAATGTCTATGCGCCTAAAATGTATATATAATGTTTATATTGCTTTAGTGTAATATATATATATATATATATATATATATATATATATATATATATATATATATAAATATATATATATATAGATATATAGATACACCTAGTGAGATATACAAACCTATAAATAGATTCATAAACGGATCGTCAGGAAAAACAAAAATGAAACCCTGAGAAAGAAAAATTTGTTTAAAAATGGCTCACAAAATGTATCTAGGTCTCTGCTATTACGGTTGTATTGAGCTCTTTTGTTAGTTAGTTGTTACTCGTATCGGGGTTTTTTTCTTTGGTCTTCAGACCTGCATCTGTGCGATTTTTTGTCGGCAGAAGTTCATGTTTGTAGCTCTTTCTTTTTTTAAAACATTTTTTTCCTCGAGATTGATTTGATTAGCAAATCAAAAATTCGAGGGTTTTTCAAAACGAGTCTAGTTATCTATATTTATATATATATATATATATATATATATATATATATATATATATATATATATATATATGTATATATACTGTTGTAAATAGGACACCGTGATATACTGCTCTTTCCTAAATGTGAAACAACGGACTGCAATTAGCTGTAATAAAAGCCCTGTTGAATGATTTCAGACCAAACTCAAGTCTCGGACGATGTGAAACTGATATTTGTACCATTTAAAGCAGAACAGCACATATTTTCTTCCAAGAATTTATTACGGGTCGTGTATCAACACAATTTTTGAAATGGTCACCTCGAGCACTGGTTTTCTTTTCCTCCAGTTGGTAAATATTCCTGAATTGGGAAATTCATAATAGCAATGTCTACATCTGTTTTGCCACAACTTACTTTTACACTAATTCCATGTTCAAAATAGCCTTCCTCCAATAGAACCATAATTTGGGCACTTCGCGTAAGTGAAAGTGAGGATTTTTTTTTTACCCATATTCTTAGTCGAATTTATTGCACAAATACTATGATAATGATTTGTCAGTGACAAAATGTTTATTGACCATAAAACACGTTTCCATAATAGTTGATGCAATAAAAAAAAAGCTATTGCATCATGTAACCTCGTATGATACAAGTCATTCGGTTCTGTGCCATGCGTGATACACGCTTAGGCGATCATGTATCTTTCGATACATGACTGACGAGGCAGATTTTTTCCCCGCAGTAGGTTGACATTTCTTTCTTTGCTATTCAAGGCTACAGAAATGGTCTTTTTTGCTTCATTTACCCACAGCTGGGGATAGATATGTAAGGATTCATATATTTCCCCAAGGTATTAGTGTACGTTTGAATATCATTCAATATGTGCCATGCGCGACTATATGGATTTGTTTTGCGATCATGTATCTTTCGATACATGACTGACGAGGCAGATTTTTTTTTATGTGAAATAGGTTGACATTTCTTTTTTTGCTATTCAAGGCTACAGAACCCGGTCTGTCCTGCTATTTACCCATTTTGCTGGGGAGAAAATGAAAAAATTCATATATTTCCCAAACATATTAGCAATTAAAATGAATATCAGTCAGTTATGTGCCATGCGCGATATTTATGGCTTAAATTTCATGTATCTTTCGATACATAACTGACGAGGCATTTATTTTTTTTGAAAAATTATTTTTACCATTTCTTTCTGCGGTAGATTGGTTTTTTCTCAGGCTATAGAAACCGGTCTGTCCTTTATTTACCCATAGCTGGGGGAAAGAGTATTCATTGGTATTTTAAAGAGTCAGTCAAATCATTTATGTATTTTTGTTTTACGCGTAAATGATCATTTATACATTGATACATGACTGACGAGGCAGATTTTTTTCTTTGCCATTTCTTTCTGTGGTAGACCAGTTGCCATCCAGGGCTATAGAACCCGGTCTATCTTGCTATTTACTCATCGCTGGGGGAGAAGAAGAGGATTCATACTTTTCCCAAGAGTATTAGGACGTAAGTGAATATAATGGATTCGATTGGAATTCTTACTCGGCTCTCCGATTCCTCAATCAGAGGAACTGGAGAGCCGAGCTCGAATCAGTGTCTTACGAGACTAAAATTGCTAACCAAGTTTTTTTTTTTTTTTTCTAGGTTTCTTGTTTCTTTTTCATTTTTATTCTGCAACATGATAGCAAAATGAATCAAAATCCGCCTTCTTTTATGCATGAAGTCCTTTCACGGCGTAGGTGAACACAGCTCTCCACAACGTCTTGCTACTCAAAGTAATTTATGAAAATTTACCATCCGTCAATCGGAGAGAAAATAATGACATAATCAAGATGTTGACGTTCCACACTACTTCAAAACAAAAGGTAGGAAGGACCCCACTTCATTACTGGAAAGAACGATAACAGCTACTGGACATGAAAAACCTATTTTCCTGAAAAATTTAAAAACAAAAAAGCCTTCAGCTCACAACAAACTCCTGTTTTATCTGATTAACGTGTGCAACTGAAATTGCACACAAGTGTTATAAAACAAATTGGTGCACAGAGATAGAAAACTATTCAAAAACATTTGCTAACAAAACAAAACTAATTGTACTCAATTGGCAGGGTCAATTTTATTTTGTCTCAAATTTATTTGATATCTTTTTATTATTAAAGTATCAATGTAATGTATTAATAATCAAGACACTCCACACTATTTGAAATAAAAGATTAAGAAGCAAACCCCCCATCTATATTGGAAAGAGCGATAACAG